TTAATAAAGTTCTCTACTAACCGCAAGTCTGCAATTTGGGCCCAAAGTCAGGTGATTAACCTCAACGTGGTCTCATTAAGACTATAATGTCAGCTGCACAGGGTACTAATTGATATTGCCACTTTCCATGAAATTGCTACACTTTTATGCCTATGCAAATCCATAGAGCTAGTTTTATACAAAAAGGGGGCTGAAAGTAAAATAAATATTTATCCTCAATTAGAGAGCAAAATATAAACTTCTAGTTCCTGACACTACTAATGGACTTAAAGTAGGTGAGGATACACTCTACATCAAGTGGAAAGAAAGGAAGACAAGAGGACAAGAACACAGAAGAGAGACATGACAGTCAAAAGGTTAAAAAGAATCTGTTTCCTGAAGTAAGAGATGAAATATTTAATAATCTGTCCCAGGTGATCTCTTACCAAGGACTAAGTCACTAGTAATCAGTAACTGAAGATTTACCTGCACAACGTGCCAATGCCGATGTCCAAGTAAAGTGCTTAACCCCTGAGACTCTAACCCTCCATCTGCAAATGGGCTCTTTTCTCCACCGGGCTTATGCTCAGAGTGTGTTGAAGAACTCCTGGTATTCTGGGTTTGTGAAGCCTCTCCACAGTTCAAATATAAGCGATCCTCCCCTTGAAGCAACACCTGCTCTTGGTTACTCTTGATGATGGAAAAGATGAAGAAGTGGGGCAAAGGAGAAAAGCAAATAAAAATATTACATAGGAGAAAGTAAGTAACACATTGATTTAGTTTTACGACAGGAAAAGTACCATATATCTCAATGTTGATTTTCTTCATAAAGGACAAAGACTACATAATAATCCTATGCACTGTTATACTAGGTCATTAAATATGAAATAACCGATTTCCAATCAAAAGTTTAGCTTATTATGTCTCTAACAAGAACCAGTACAATTAATCAAAGTATGCGCCTAAACTATCGACATAGTTTTGCCATCTTAATGGTAGCTTGCTTATGCTAGCAGCAAAGAAGCCTAGAGAGTGAGTGGTGGTGAAATCATGAAAGGCATTTTCCACAGCTTGAGAATTGAATATTTTTCCTTACAAGAAGAGGTCCAAAGCTTGGAAGAAGTGGTAGTCAGTTGGTGCAAGGCCTGGTGAATACAGTGGATGACAGAGAGTTTCCAAGTCCAGCTTCTGTAGTTTGAGCAGTGTTGTTTTTTGTGACATGTGGCCTTGCAAGAAGATTGGTCTGTCTCTATTGACCAATCTCGGCTGCTTAATTGCAAGCATCCTCATCATTTCATCCAGTTGGTTGCAGTAGATATCTCCTATAATCGACTGACTCAGGTTTCATGAAGCTGTAGTGGATGATACCAGTGCTGGACCACC